CATATCACAGAATGGCTTGGGTTGGAAGGGGCCTTAAACGTCACCCAGTTCCAATGCCCTGCTGTAGGCAGGATTACCAGCCAGCAGGCCAGACTTCCCAGGGCCTCATCCAACCTGGTCTTGAGTGCCTGCAGGGATGGAACATCATCATTAGCAGTTTGTGGGAACAGAAAAGACAGAGGAGCCCCAGAACAGTCCTTCCTGAGGGCTTCATGTGCCATGCTCAGCCTGAGTGTGCTCAACATGTACAGAAGCCTTCTGGTACCTCTCAGGAGCCAGAGTCAGTTCCTGGTCCATTCTTCTCAAGTCAGGAATGGCCGTTGTTCCCCACTGCACTCCCATCAACATGCTCACTCCTTCCAACTCACTAAAGCTGGCATTCAGTCAGCATGTCTTAAACTAACTGGCCTTGAAAAGCTTTCACATCACCACCTTGTCTTGTGTGTATGTTGCTTTTTATCTTGCACTGTGAAAAGCTGCCCTACAGTTTAGTTTGAAAACAACAGCAAAATGTCCCTGTGTTGCTTCAAACACACAACCCCTCCCGACACCAATTCCAGCGATCAACCATTACCCTGAGCAGAACCATCGTAGAGAAAAAAATTGCAAAACAGCAAACCACGTGCTTTGATTTCTGTAAATTAAAGCAAAGTGTGCATAAAGGGGTGCCAACTCCCCACCTATGAGCCTGGGTGATGAGCTCTTGTCTCGCGGGAGCACTTCACAAAGATGCTCATGGCTGGGCTCCTCTGTAGAAGGTCCACCCCAGCCACAGGCACTGCCTGCCCTGCAGAACTTCCTAGCACAGGACATCCTCCACCAAGGATGGATTAGACACCCGTGCAGTCACCAACCTCTGCACGACCTTTTCTGTGAACCATCCCTACGCCTAATGGGACACAGGTGAGGACAGGCTGCCCAGGGAGATGGTGGAGACATCAACCCTGGAGGTGTTCCACAAATGTGGAGATGTGGCTGTGAGGGACGTGGTTTGGAGTGGTCACGGGTAGGGGTTGATGGTTGGACTGGATGATCTTAGTGGCCACTGCAACCTTCATGATGCCATGATTCTGAAGACAGATGACATCAGCATTGCATGGAAGAAAAGGATGTCAATTAAGCTCATTTTTATCCCAGCTATTATTCAGTTTGACCTCTTCTGTTATTTTTAGAGCTGATTTTCATTGGCAGGTCCTGATGTGTGGGAAGTTGAACATCAAAAAAATATATATCCTTTGGTCTTAAATTGGAACATGCAGCTGGAAATTTCCAAGAAATTATATTTCCAAAATCTGCTCTGGAAACATCAAAATGACTTATTCACAGCTTTCATTTTTATTTTCTGGCCTTTTAATACTTTTTTATTGTGATTTTTGGACACACCCTTTTTTATCTTTTTATTTTTTTGAAGTATGATTGTAAATATATGAGTAAGTTTCTCCCTAAACCTTTCCATTTTTGTCAAACCAACATTTGAGATTTTAAAAGCATTTTCATTGAGAAAAAAAAAACAATAAAACCCACCAATCACCAATCTCTGGATTTGCATCTTTCTGCCCCCATGACTTCTTCAGCAACACCAGCAGCGTTCCCCGAGGGAAACAGCCCGCCAACACCGGCTCCCTGAGAATGGAAAAACAACTTTCTTCTGGGAGATATTTGCTGTTATTTATAAAATTCCTCTGGAACTGTAGAATCATTACGGTTGGAAACCATCTCTATGACCCTTCGGTCCAACCATCAACCCATCCCCCCCATGCCCACTGACCACGTCCCTCAGTGCCACATCTCCATGTTTCTTGAGCACCACCAGGGACGGTGACTGCAGCGCCTCCCTGGGCAGCCTGTGCCACTGCCTCACCACACCTCTGGGGAAAACACTTAGCCTGAGAGAATTTTCTTCTACAGTGAAGCAAGTGGGGGCAGAGCACAGCTTATGTCAATGTTACGGTCCTGTCCACAGCCAGGATGAAGGATGGGGAAGCTGAACACAGAAAAGTATTGCTCCTGCTGTTGGGTGCTCTGTCCCACACAGCAGAAATTACCATCATCTCTACCAGTGCTTGGCCATGAGCCTGGCACTCTCCTCCAAAATGGCGTGCAGTTTCCAGCACTCACTCCATGGTATTACAAGTCAGATTGTAAGGGTAGCCTGGCCTGGTGTAGAGATCACTGATGAGACCACATGGCAACCATGACAAGCAGCCGAGATACAAATGCCACTAGAGGTAATTTCATTTTCAGACTTGGCACTACTGAACAGAACTTAATAGAAACATAGTATCTTAGAAGGTTTTGAGTTGGAAGGGACCACAAAGCCCACCCAGCCCCAACCCCCTGCCATGGGCAGGGCTGCCACCCACCAGCTGAGGCTGCCAGGGCCCCATCCAACCTGGCTTCGAATGCCTCCAGGAACGGAGCACCCATGCTCTCTGGACTCTGTGCCAATGCCTCACTGCCCTCACAGTGAAGAATTTCTCCCTTATGCCCAATCTGAACCTACTCTCTTTCAGTCTGGCAAAAATTCTTTCTCCATCTTCTGCACAACCTCCCTCTGTGCACTGAAAAGCTACAATGAGCTCTCCTTGGATTGCAGTCTGAAGAAACCCAGCTCCCTCAGCCTGTCTTCACAGCACAGGCACTCAGCTTTCTGAGCATTTTTGTGGCCTTCCTCTGGGCCCACCCTAACAGGTCCATATCCTTATGCTAGGGCCGTGCAGCTGGATGCAGTATCCAGGTGTGGTCCTATGCCAGGGACTGTAACTCTTCTGATGTACACAAAGCCATCAGTGCTCTCTTTGGGATGAAGCAGGGTTGTGCAGACACCCATTAACCTCAAGGTGACTAAAGGACTTGGTACGTGCTTAACCAATATGCTTACCTGCAGGTGTATGCGTGTGGCCCCTCAGCAATGTCACTGTGGTTCTTCCCCACACAGCACGATGCTGGGACTGACTGTAGGCCCAGCTTGCTCCATGCACACATCTGCAGGCTGTCTCCTACCCAGCAGCACTCTTGGAATGGGACATCTCATGCTGTGTGCTCCCCCCAAATCCCCATGAACATCCCAAGGCAACCACTCGCAGTGCAGCACGGTTGGAAGAGCTCTGAAGGCTTTTTCCCATCTCCCATTCTCAACCATCAGCTGTCTCCCCCTCCTCACATGCCTCGTACACAGAATCACAGAATCACCCGGGTTGGAAGGGACCTCAAGGATCATGTAGTTCCAACCCCCCTGCCTAGCAGGGCCACCAAACACACACATTCAGATCAGGTTGCCCAGGACCCCGTCCAACCTGGCCTTAAACACATCCAAGGACGGGGCATCCACAACCTCCCTGGGCAGCCCGTTCCAGGGCCTAACCACTCTCCTTGTAAAGAACTTCCCCCTAACATCCAACCTAAATCTTCCCTCCTTCAACATACAGTCCCCTCTTTATTTTAAGGAGGGCCACATGCCTGGGGCTGTTCTGCTAACAGCAGTTTCCTCTGATATGCAGAAGCCAGAAGATGTAGTCATGGGCATTTTCCACCTTGCTGAAGGACAGTCAGTGCATCCATCAGCTCTCGTGAATTTCAACTGCCCGTGTCACTGGGCTTCTGCTGGATTTGAGCTAATGCAGTCTTTGCAGGTGATCACAGCTTTGTGGATCAGATCCTCAGTTTATTTCCATTAGCAGTCATGATAATGAGCCCAGGTCTCTGTTTTTACCAACGCTGTTCAGGGCACATTCGCTGCTCAGACCGAAAACCAGAGGAAGTCACAACTTCCATGTTCGTGCTGCAGCAGATTTCTTTGCCAGGAAAAACATTTTTACACATTTTTTTTGTGTTTTAACGGTTGCTATTCCTACATTATCTATTCCTGAGATTATTTCCTGTGGGAAAGATTTAATACTTTTAATTCTAATAATATTTTTAGTAGCAGTTGCTATTTTCTGCCAAAGATTCTGTATTTTGGGATGGAATCGAATTATATGCTCTAAATGTCTCTTCCCATAGCAATTTCCTTAGGAAAGCTTTTAGAGCAGTTAATTCATACCTCATAAGCTACAGGGAAGAGAAGAGAATTTTCTGAAGTCTATGAGACCGATTTTCCACTCAGCTCCAGGCGATGGCCCCGCTTCTTGCATGGCTAATCCTGTTCTTACGTTTCCATTTGAAAGCCAAATGCTTTTTTTCCTCATTTAGTTTAAGTTATTCAGGCTAGGTTGTAACTTCTTAGCTTGTGACTTCTGCAGGTAGTTCTTTCTCCCTGAACCAGGAATAATATGCTTACCAAGAGCTGCTGCTGTTTCCTGGCCCCAGAGAACACAGAGATGGGAGGCTGCAGAAGCCCTTTTTTCTTTTAAAACGAGAGGTTTGCTATTTTGTTTTTTAAAATCAAAAAAATGGAAGTGACACAACTGAAAACATTTTTGCAGGAAGTTCAATGAGAATGCCTGGAGCCAGTCCTAATGTGTGCTGCACAGCTACCTGGCCACGTGCCTTCACACTTACTTCAGTTTCCCCTGAGGTGGATGAGAAGGTGAGAGCCTTCTGGAGATGGTGCCTGATCAGCTGAAAGGATGTAACTTCCAGTTCAGCTCTTCACTGGGTGACATGGCAGTAGATGTTCCTTGCAGTACAGATGCTGAACAAGCAGTCTATCAGGTACGGAATCACCACTTCTTTTTGGTCTTGTTTTGCTTAATTGCAAAGATTCTGCACTTGAAGGTGAGTTACTTACCTCTAAGAGCAGGAAGGAAGCACACCTCCAAATGGCTGCTCCAAAGAACTGCTGCTGTGAAAGTGACAGCGTTGAATTCCATGCCATACACTCTGTTATATCAAAATTGCCTTAATGTGCCCAGAAATCCTACACCAAATGCTACGAAGAGGTGAGATTTGGATCTTGTGCTTGTAGCTCAAACCCATCACTAACATTACAAAACAGACCCTTTAAAAATTCCACTTTAAAATAGGCAGAAATGATCCTTTTCAAGAACACATAATGCAGCTTAGATTTTGATTCAGATTTTTAATAAATTGTGCCAGTAGAAGCTTTCAAAGGCAATGATATATCAATAAATAACAGTTAAACTGAGTTCCTGAGAAAGAACCTACCACATGAAAGAATGTCAAATAGATGTAAATAACAAAAAATGGCATTACTATATAAAAAAGCAGTAATACTGAACCTTACATGAACTGTCACAACACAAGCACTGCATACCTCAGAACATTCCTTTCATACAAATGTAAACAAATACACAATCATTTTTGTTTAGTTTAGGCTGATGAATTTATATGATGTTGCTTAGATATCTAAACACTGGATAGGATAGGATATGCTAAAACATTAAGGAATAATATGTGGACCAATATATGGAAAAAAAAACGAAGTTCCAGATTAGAGAAAAAAAAAAAAAAGAAGCAAAAACACATAAAGGAGTGTTTTCCTCACATGTTACGATGTCAATCATTTTAAATAGGACTGTTACACTCATCTGAATTAAGGATTTTTTCTGTGTGTTTACTTACTTATATATAATATATGCAAATACGTATGGCTTAATTACTTTAGTATTCTGATATCATCTCAAATAATTCTCACTTATACATATAAGAAAAACGCATATTTTAACATAGTTAAGATTGATATTTCAAAGTAAGTCTACAATCCGACAGAAACAAAGGACTGTTGTGCTCCACCACAGCAACGTTCTCTAGAGACAGGAGGGCAGAACGACCTGTCAGCAACAGCAGCACCGCCGGCTGCGGGGCCGAAGCACCGCGATCCTGCAGCCACACACAGGCGGCCCTGCGAGAGATGCGCAGGCTGGAAAAGCCGCGGCCCTGCACGAACTCAGGGTCTCTGCTACAGGAGCACAGCTTGACCCCTTCTGTTCTGAGGACACCGAGCTCCACGCTGGCACTGGTGCTCTGCGTTACGGACAGCACTAAGCAAGGAAGGCTGTGCTGCACGCTGTGTGAAGGGGTCAGAGCCGGCCTGCCGCCACCAATCTGCCCCCTGCCAGCAGTCGTGCTATCGATCCTTCGTGGGGCAGTGTGTGTGCCCACCACAGATGCTTACCAGTGATCCGCTGCGTCAGACCACAAAACGACAATTCGGTTCTAAACGTTGCAATCTGTCTTACAAAATTAGTACTGGATACAATCGTAAGAAAAAACCATCCACACGATGCATTATCAACACATGGTTTAAAACGGTCTGATTTCAGACCCTCAGAAAAAACGGATCCACAGGACCTGCCTGTGAATGGCAAGAAAAGGCCATTTCAAATAGAAAAACACTGCTCATGCAACATTCTTCACACGCTAGACAATGAAATCACACCCAAATAGTCGCCTGCTCACACTTTCTATTACATTCCAACAAGCAGAAGGAAATCAAGCAGCTTTAAGGTTACGTCACAATTTTGAAATGTGGAAAATACATATAATAAACAAAAATCGTGGTGCGAATACAATGGCGTCAGTAAATTAAGAAAATTAGAGAGCTGACTTCTTTGTTTGGGTTTTTTTCTTTTTTTTTTTCTTCCTTTTTTCCTTTCTTACATTATTGCACAGAGACCTTTCATCACACGCTCTTCAGCTTTACGCGTTTTCCTAAATGTGAAATAAGTGCTATGGATAAAATAAAAATGTAGAAAAGAAGAACAGCAGCATGATTTGTCAAAGTTAATCCCTATAATTTAGTAGGAAAAAAAACACCCTGCTATAAACAAAATATAAGTGCTCTTTATTCATTTAAAAAATAATGCTGACAGATGCAGAAATTTATCTGAGTAGGGGGGTGCTGACCTCAAATAACAACAGGCCTAGAAATGATAGACTTCTGGCCTTGCAGATTTTGGTGAAGACCAGGACTTCAAGTGTAATCATCAACAAAGCTATTTACAGTAAAACTGACCTGAACTTCCAAGAGTGCCGTTTTTAGGACCTGGCCTTGCAAGTTTCTGACTCCCCAGGATGACTTCAGCTTCATCTGATGTTAGACATGAACAAGCACTGCAGGATCAGCTCCCAAAGGATCAGTTAAAGGCCCAACTGGATTTGAGATTAGTCTTACCTGGAGTACTCTATACAATAATTTACACATATACAGGTTGACAAGCTCCAGTCTGATCCACCATGTCTTTGTCCTCTACGCTGGATTTCTCAGACTGGCCAACTTCCATCCCGGAAGGTTTGGGATACCTGAATGGATAGCCGTTGTCATCGAAGAACCTTCGGAAAGTGAACTCATAGAAGGCATGCTCGGTGTGCTTGCTGTTGGAAGAAGCCAATGGATCCCACGTCCTGGTGCTGTCACCACTAGCATCGTTCCAAGGGCTTTCCTCTTCAACTGGATCAAAATTTGAAGTGTCCATTGGATGGCTGATCTTTGGAACATAGGGAGCAGGCTGCCTACGGATATCGGCAGAGAAGTCCATAGAGTGAAAGAAAGAATGGGCCTTAATATCATCTGCTCCATTTCTTCCAAGCCTGTCCTCAGCTGCACAGCACAACTTTGTGATGAGATCCGTTGCTTCAGGGCTTAGCTTGATCTGTGTGGGGATGTGCAGTGTGCTTTCCCAATTTATCACCTGAAGAGAGAATGGTATTAAACAACATCTAATCCTAGAAGCAGAAACCTTCTGATCCTTTTGTCAAGACTAACTGTAGAAAAGCATACACGAAACTAGTCCACTCACATCCTGTTCAATTATTTTAGAGGTTCAAGAACCCAATGATTAAATAGCATCAGCTGTTAAAATATTTCTTAAACAAATCAAGAAATGTCAGAGAACAAATAGAAGAAGCAATTACATTTTAAAAAAAGACAATTAGTTCATGGAATGACTTCCATGACGTTGCTTCATTCAGTCTCCAAATTGTAGGAAATTGGTTATGAGATATATTCATTCTAATAAAAACTACTGACTGCTTAACTTTGAAATTCTCACATTGCCATCTGACATTATAATTATTCTATCAGCTTACTCAAAACTGATATGCACCCTAAATAATTGATATGGATGAGCCTGTGCTCCAGAAATCAAAATTATGCAGAAAAGGTTCATAAAACTAGCAACTATCTATGCAACTGGACAAGTCAGTTCTGGTTTGACAATCAGCATCTTCACTGATTGCAAAAGGTTTTGTCCCTGCATAGAACTATTTAAAATCAAGCTTTCATAACAACAGCTCTTTTCTCCAATACAAGAGGGGATGTGTCTGTACGTGGTGGAGAAAAGATGGAAAAGGTTAAAATTTTGCTACCACAGGAATTCCACTTACCTTCAGTTGGGTTTCTGTGGGCGTAGGAGCCAGAAAAGGAGGCTGTCCCACTAACATCTCAAAGAGGATCACACCAACACTCCACCAGTCACAGAGCTGGGTGTATCCTGAAAGGCAAGTCAAAAGGTTGTCCTCCACCAGTCACAGAGAGTCTGTACAGAGCTACTATTTCCTCTTGCAATTGAAGATCAAAACTGCAACATCGACTTTTACTTTGCCTCAAACAAGTGACCCAAAACCAAAGGACTCCTGATCCAACTTCATCATAAAACGCTTCTTCTTGCTGATATAAATTCTAGTGTTGTCAGTAAAGATCTCATACTGTTGTCTGGGAAGCATTCTCAATATATTTCATTCTCAACAACAGTAAGTGGGGAAACCACATAATTAGGAAGAATGAGCTATTTTTTGTGTTTGTTTGTTTGTTTTTCTTCACGACCCATCCAACAGTTCTACCACTTCACAGCATAAAGTGGCCCTCAAAGGACTCAGTGACCTACTTAATGACCAATGTCCCCCTCCAGGTTCAGTGGAGCTGACATTAGGGTTTTAGAAGCTGCTGAAAGACAAAGCCAGACTAGAGATAAAGATGACTTTGAGCAAGTTCTAAGCAGAGGAACAAGTTAAATCACTTAATTGTTCAGACAAACGAAGTAAGATACAGCTTTGAGATCTTCAAAAGGAATGGAGGACTTGAACCCTGCATTCAATGAATTCTGTTATTAGAATTCTGTATTCTGTAGAATCTAACCTGAAATCTCTAGAAATGAAAAAGTGTAGAGATAAGCCTCAAGGTCAGGGTTGCAGACAACTCTGAACATCTAATCTGCTTACTATAGTGAACATGTCTGTTTGTCATGGATAGTCACAGAGTATTGTTTACATTCCACAAGCACAGCTTTTAGGTGTAGTATGTCCAGGGTAACTTGGGTAAGACTTTATTTTGTTTAGTCAAGATTCTGACTGGGAATCTGAAGAATATGTATCCACAAGTTTTTATCAGCTATACTGCAGTGATCCATCTCAACAGGTGATTCTAAACAATCAGATGGCTACTTGATGCTGTTTGTAATCTCACTAGTGGTCACGGTCTACGAGTACAGATAACTGGCTTTAAACTTGAGAAACACCACTGCCAATGACATCTGACATGTTAGAGTCCTCATCAAAGGCCTCAGAGTGAAGAGATATGGAGACAGACAAAGCGCAATCACCTTTAATGTCAGCATTGTGAAGTTAATCAGCAGAACATGCACAGAAATCTGTTCTCCTTAATCTGAGCGCCTATGGACTTCAGAATGACAAACTTCCAGAGCAGCAAATTAAGGAGAAAAAAAGAAAAATAGAAAAAAAAAAAAAAAGAAAAAAAAAGAATTTCACAATATTGATGATTATTTAAACAGGAGATAAATAGACATTATCTACCTTTACGAAGCAGGACTTCAGGAGCAATGTAATTAGGGGTTCCGACTAATGAGTGGGCTAGACATCTCTGATGTTGCTTCTTAGCTCTTTGTTCCAATGTCTTCAGCCTATCTCCACATCTACAATTGGACACATCATCCCAAAGATCACTGGGCTCCATGCTGTCCTGTCTGATGTGACTCCCTTTCAAGTGGGAGAGAAAATTTACAGTTACAGACATAAAACACAACATGCAAAGAGAAAAGCATTTATCCAGATTTAGTTTGCCATCTTCTAACATCACTGAAGAACAGCACCTGAACTCTAAATCCAAGGCAATGTCTTCTGCCTTCTTTCCAATTGGTTTTCCATAAGCAGCAGAATGTCTCTGTCTCCACACAGGGAAGCATGCTCCCATACAGGAGACAGAGAATATATTTAGATCAACTGTACCAATTGTTCGTGACCTTTTTGCTGACATATTCCAGTTCTCCTAGATGGCGTGCACAAGAGGTACCTGGATTAGTTTAAATCTGGGATTAAATTCTTTCACTACCAACAGAGACCCTCCAAACAAATATGTACTGAAAAACTGCTGCCACTGCAGCATCCAGCCAAATTACTGTCAGGGATTTGAAAAGTGTTGGAAACAAAAGACTAGAAACAGACAGACAGAATGAGTAAGACAAACCCATCATAATTTCCTGACATTTCTGCCAAGAGGTAACTTTGTTTCAAGATAAGAAGTGCAAATAAAGGCTAGGAACACTAACCTTTCTGGTAGTATTTTGAATTGTGAGTCCACCTGAATCCCGTACACAGTCCGAAGTCAGTCAGTTTGATATGCCCATCGAGGTCTATCAGAATGTTGTCAGGCTTGATGTCTCTATGAATAAAACCCATTTTGTGTACGCTCTCAATAGCCAAAGTGAGCTCTGCAATATAAAATCTAGCAAGACGCTCTGGAAAGACTTCCATCCGAATCAGCAGACTCATCATATCCCCACCAGGGATGTAGTCCATTACAAAGTACAAGTTCTCTTTATCTTGGAAGGAATAATAGAGTTTAACCACCCACTCGTTGTCTGCCTCAGCAAGAATGTCCCTTTCTGCTTTGACATGAGCCACCTGGTTCCGGTTCAGTACATCCTTCTTACGCAGAGTTTTCATGGCATACAGGGCATGAGTATCCACTTTGCAGGCCAGGCATACTTCTCCAAAGGCACCAATGCCCAGTGTCTTGATCTTCACAAACATAGATTTGTCCATTTTGGCCCTTTTAAGCCTGTTGTAGTTGGACTCCTTCTGGTAGAGAATTTTCCTCATTTGTTCCTGTTCTGCTTCGCAAAGGCCTGCCTTTATAAGGGAAAGCAAACCACGACAGCTAGTAAGATTATATTCATAGCAATAGAACAATAAACTAGCATTCCCAGAAAACATTTCTCAGAAAAAGTAATCTAGAACTAGATAAGATATTGAAAACAGTCAGCCTCTGGTCTGTCAAGGTGTTTCATTTGCCATACCTTGCTACCTGAATCTAAGATTGCTACGTGTTTCTCATTCTCCTGAACTACAAGGTATTGGGCAATACTGTCAGGGGAACAGAACAGAACAGATCTGATCGCAGGATTTGGTTTTTAACTCTCAGCTGTGCACTTCACCAATACACTCCACTACGTGTATGCACAGTGCAGCACAACTTAAACTGAGATGCAGAAGCCCATTGGTTCATTAATAGCTCCCCAGAGCAATTCACATGAAACCTTCCTCCCTAGCACTTGTCTTTTTCATAGCAATTAAGAAACAATACTTTTGACAAAGTATCTCGGGAACCCTCTTTCTCCAAAACCATTTTTCTTCCTCTGTCATACAGAGCCCCTGCTCTCACACTTGGCAGATCCCTATCTTCCAAAATATACGTATATAACCCTCAGCTCTGGCCTCCTCCCAGACATTGAAGCCAAGATCCAGGTCCTATTTCTCTTTTAAGGGTAATTTTTCCCTTTGCACCTGCACAGTAACAAAGCTGGCTTGTCCAGGCACCATCTGTCCCCACAGTGTCTTAAAGTAGTTAAAAGTATTTTTACACGTAATTTCACATGGCTGAAGGTGAACATCTCCTGGAAAAGCAGAGAAGTACCCAGCTGGACTTTCCTCAGGCTTCAAGATAGAGCCTGCACAATTTTGCCTTCAGTGCTTGTCTGAGAACACTGGCAGCCTTCACCAGCAGAAGCCCCTGGGCTGACTTCCAGGATCCTCTGAGAATTCCCTCTCCACAGCAGACCCCTTCCTTTTGAATAACCCAGATCCTGAACTAAGTGAAGCATTCTGAGAGGAAGATTAGTGAGTGATGGGAAGAGGCAATGGGGGATGGAGATGAAGCTGACTGAGGAGCAGGCTAAAGATCCAAGTATTGACCCACAAGGCTGCTGCTTTGACTGATTTTTTCCATTTCACACCTGCAGTCGAGGCCATTAAAGATAAAAAGTGGGCAGCTGGACTACACAGCAAATCCCCACAGCTTAAAAACGAAATCCATATGAATAAAGGATGAAGGAGGTAAAAAAACCCTCACAGAATAGGTAGGGTACCTCAATCCATAATAGAAGAAGCATTTATTGTTTTAATGCAAAACAATTAGTGTGTTGTATTCTTGGTTAATTCTGGAATAATGTGATATTCAGATGGCCAAAATCTCTTGAGTTTGTGGTGTGTTATTCCAGCCAGAGATGAGGTTGCTAGGGGAAGGAGCTGTTTTTGTTTATAGTTATCTCTGAGTTACAAAGTGAACAAAGGCTGAAGGGCCAGAACACAACTGATGCTGTTAGTTTCTTATTTCTTTAGAGACTGTTCCCCAGCTATCTCAATCTCAGGAAAATATTCACTAAATCCAAGCAGTGCAACACAACCTATAGTTGCACTGAGGACAAACTATGAACTGTCACTACAATACTGACCTTTTAAGAGACTTTTAGAAGCATTAAATGTAAAAAAAACCACCGGATTTTCTTGAGCAGAATCACAGAATTGCAGGGGTTGGAAGGGACCTCAAGAGACCACTGAGGCCAACCCCCCTGCTAGAGCAGGCTCCCTACAATAGGTGCACAAATAAGCATCCAGACAGGTCTTGAATATCTCCATTGAAGGAGGGCAGTGTGAGTATCAAATTAATTGACTCTAGACAGTTCTAGGGAAGATCAGATAAGTTATTATCCATTATGCATTAATAACAGCTTTTCTTAGAGTTTATCCTCAAATACAAAAGTAGACTAGTCATATTCTAGCTAATCATGCCTGAAGGGAAAAAAATCAAAAACTTTTCCACATGTAAAAATTAAAAACAGAACTGCCAGAGCAATCATCAGAACTTGGCAGCTTGCTTCAGAAAGCCCTGTCAGTGAGTCAGTTTAGTTTGAGTGCTACTATGAGATGTGAATGAAGCTCTCAAAGTGCACCTCACCGAGACCTGCTTCTAGAACAAGTTCCAGCAAAATTCCCAAGATCATTTCAGCTGACCAAGAGATGATTACTTGCATGGTATTATTACTAACGTATGTTCAAGAGACAACTTTCAGTCAGGTATCATATGTTCAAGGGAAAATATAGCATAGTAAACCTATAGCCAAGTTAAACTGTGGCTCTGGTGAATAAGCAGTCACTATCAGGAACAGGCAGGAAGAACTGGAGCAAAGAGAAAACCTCAGATTTTTTCAAGGGCTGTAAAGTATTATCAGAGTTACCATGGTCTCAAACCTGTCTGAGTCCTCTCCTATGCGAGCTTAACACTTTCCTACTAGGAGTGTCTCTGCTTTATTTTCTTGTGAGGACAGACTACTTCTCTCAGCTTTTTCAAACAGTCTCCTTGATCTGCACCCAGGCCTCCAAGTGAAAACAGTCCGGAACAAGGAGTGTTGAATATCTATTATCACTTCCCAGAGAACTCTCCTTTATACATTTTTTGAGTGATTTAAAATAGTAATAATTAATTGACCCTATTTATTATATATATACATAAAAATTACTTTAGCCATTTCTTGCTCCAATTGTAATCTTCTGTTAATTTTCTGCTGGTAGGTCTTTATGACATTTTCTACGTGTTGCTCCATGTAGAACTTGAAAGCAAATGGTGAGTAGCTCTTTATTCGGGATTCTCGCTTTTCCTCATCTTTGCCATTTTTCCGCACAGGCACTGGAGATGTCTGGATCTGCTTTTTATCCTTGCTTGGTTTTTCAGCTTTAGTGTTCTTGCTGTTTTTGTCGTTTCTCTCACTGTTCTCCTCAGCCTTATTGCACGTCGCATTGGGGACTACACGGAGGGTCTGCTCCACACCCATGCATAAGCAATTGATATCAAACTGCTCGGAGCTGCCGGGAATTAACAAATGCTTGGGATACGGTGGTGGTGGACACCGCAGCTCCTGGTTACCATAATCCACATCTAATTGATAGGCGTTGGCCGCTCCAACAGCTGGAACGTGCTGTTCAATGATCTCTAGGCCATCCACGGCCGGCGCCTGGGCAGGTAACCAACCAGGATGGGAAGGTCCCACTGCAGTCTGAGGCTCGGGTCTCATCACTCGCATGCTCTTCACTGGCTGGAGAATATGAGCAGATGTGACCGCTGTGATTGTATTTGGAGATGTAATTGAAGGATCGGGTTTTCCTGGAGGAACCTGTCTCATAGACACGGTCACTTGTGGTTGTTGCTGATGGTTGTTAAAGGAGTTTGTTCTGCTTGGCACCGAGGCATCAGGTCTGAAGGACACGTGTTGCCGTGGAGATGATTCTATTCCTGGGTTTTGTAAAGAATCTCGCCGTGAAGGCGCTGCTGCCTGCCACTGCTGAACTTGAGGATTATTCATGTCATAGAGGTCCATGTTCAGACTATTTCTAGATGGAGTTAATAGATTTTGTGGTGGGCTGTCTGCAAAATCATTACCAAACGCTGGACCTCTGGATATCACGTGCATTTGATGGGAGGGAGGACTTGTCTGTTTGTGATGAGAATGTGACATATACAGGCTTGCCGGTGCCTGCTGAAATGCATGACCGGTGTTATTTTGAACAACTGCCCCTTTATTTGGGAGATTGGCATAACCTCCCTCCTGCTGCATCTTGTTTTGAAAGGATGGACTCCTCTGAACACCATATCCCATGGGCTCCCCCTGCACCATCATGTGCTGCCTACTGTAATGCTGGCTGTTGGAGCCATGGGAGGCCTGAAGCTGCAAGGCTGGGCTGCTGTGATTAGACACGGGATAATTAATCACAGAAGACTCAATATTTGCAGGGTATGTTTTCTGCTGATGGCTTGTTGGAGTGCTGTGAGTGCCTACGCCAGAGGGTCGCTGTACAGGCGCATTCATAGCGGCAGACTGTGAAGCAGAGATTAAATAGTCCATGTATGGCCGTGGAACTTCAGTTAGCATATTTGCACCTTCTGCTGCAAAGCCTGTCCCTTCATAGGCTGCATTACTGATCTGATGGTAGGATGGAAAAGATTCACTCGATCCTTCGAAGCTTGGCCTGCGAGTTACGTTATTTGGCACAATACCCTTTCCTTTATAAAAAGAACACAGAAAAACATTAGGAAACAATTCAGGTGAAGCAATTACTTTGCATTACTCATCCACCTATCCATACACATGCACACAGCCTAGGGATTATGTGTTACAAAAAAAACCCTACCTCCCAAAACCTAAATTAAGCACTCTCAGCAATCAAAGTGATAGGTGCCAAGTATTACCACCAATAACAAGCTACTGGCTCACAACACTGATCATGCCAGGAATCATCAGGGAGTTCTACTAAATAATCAGAATAGAAGCACAAATTCCTTTACTGTGAAGTCATCAGATTACACTTCAGCCTGGTTTTTAAAGCTGGACCAGCTTTTACATTGCTGGTCGTTGCCCACAGACAGGAGGAAGCTACAGAGCAGAGGGGTATGTGCAGCACAAACAGGGACAAAAGCTCCCTGAAGCACTGTCAGTACAACTTGAAATCCACATTGCTTTAAGCCACCAGGTAATCAGCCCGCTTCCTTCTCTACAGTGAGCTCATTGCTCATGCTGGAGATCTGTTTGCATCTCTCTGTTCCACAATGCTCCTCAAACATCCTTGTTTTCTACTCCATTTACAACAAAGGTGTAAGACAGCTTATCCTATCTTCTTTCCAATGTGTTGGGCAAAGAACGTCCCCTTAAATCACTCATTTTCCTGCTGTTCAGTGTGTCAACATGCTAATCTCAGCTTGAAGGACTGCAGAGACAAAATGCCAGCATTCCTGTGCTGGAAGTGTTAATAGCACTTTTCATCAGTTCTCTCATCCATGGACAAACTGTGGGTGCAGAAAAAGATAGAGAGATACTCTGAGCTGGCTTTTTGTTCCCGCTCTGGCTCTTTAGCTTTCACAAATTGTAGGACTTGGCCCATGTATGCCTGAACAATTTCCTTTTAAAATCTTGATTTCACAAGGTCTGCAAGTGCAGTTGCACTGCATGAAGTCCAACAGGCTGGACTGCTAGATTGCAAGCTTATTTGCCTTACAGCATATCTCAGCTGGGCCAGGTGCAGCACCCTTATGCACTGCTGTGAACTCCTCACCTGCATACACACAAACTCACAAGAACCTGAAGAACATTAAGCAAGGCCTATGCATCATTTCTGCACACTGAAGAGGCTGTGCCCATACTAAATGACGCATCATAAACAATGCAATGTTTTGAAATTAAATGAAGTTGGACAAATTATCAACCTTCTTTCAAATGTCATCTATTATCAGCAGCAGTTTTTCCTGCGATAACATAAGGGCACTCTTCCAAGGCTGTACTTACAGCTACTCCCTGGAAGCTGATCTGCCAGAACACAATGAGATGCACTGATAAGGCTGTGGCAATCCAAATAATCCTAAGAAGTGGCTGCTCTGGGCTGGATGTGGGAGGCAGCCACATGACCCTTTTGTCATCTCTGTCATCAGGAATCACTTGCAGCCTCAGGGACAAACTGACTTTGTTTTCTCATAGGCCACTGAGGAAAGCAGCAGCAACAACTGTCCTCTTATGGGACATATTCTTCAACTGCATAAAGAATCTTGCTAATGTAAGGAGAGGTATGAACTCCACCTCCGAAATTTGTAAACCAGTAAGTCTGTTCTGGTCTGTCTAAGGAATATTTGGAACTGTAAAGATACCAAATATACTGGTTGCTGCTGATTTTTTTTCCCCTGCACATTCCCATCCAAAAAGGTTACAACCATCTCTTGCCTGTGAAGTGTTCTAAGTGTATTCTGTAAGATTCATTAACTGTACTCATGGCATCAACTCTTTCAATATATAGTCTCTGTCCAAAAGAAACATCTTTCAATTTTTAAGTCTTGATGGTATGCTAAAACTCATTAGCTTTACTATTAAATTAGGACTAAAATGAGTAATGTGAAAAATCTATTTCCATATACCAATACATGAAATTCAGAACTGTGAGTTTCACATTCCTGAATTGTAAATGGAAAGTTCCCAGGTAGCATTACATGCTCCCCAATCATCTGCAGAGACCTGTGCTATCCTAGCACAAACAATGCAACATCAAGCAGATCAGTATGGTTCTGTTGCACCGTAAGCAAGCAAACATTATTTGCATGATATTTAAGTTTTGCTTTCTATGTACCTAAAAGTAAAGGGAGATCTGCTCAAAAGGTGGAGGACTCAAAACATCTGCATGTATTAGAACGTTAAGAAAGCAAAACCAACAACGGAGTCATTAAAGCTTTTTTCCTGGAAAGACTTTTTAACCCTTTTAGAAGAGATGTATGTTATTTTTGACGTTTGCTGGTCAGGCACACGCAGGGCCCAAATCCTCTCATTTAGTTTATATGGGACAGAGCTGAAGCAGACTAGCAGGGATGAGTGAAAAGCCACCCTAGCCTGAGCTATTTCTGCAGTCTACTCACAAGGATGCCGACATGAATGACTTCCTGGGAAGTGAGATTCACAGCTCCACAGCCATTATCTACGTGCAAGCTTTTACCCCGTGGTAGACTCAAGATGATTGAGATGACTTGCACTGAAGGACAGACAGCTTCGTGTTTAGGAAGGAGCAGTAGGAATGTGCATGCAGATGGCTGCTGCGAAGCAGGTGAGCTATGCTCACCTTGCAGCCCAGCTGAGCATAACCACCATCTGCAAGACTACTGTTGGACACAGCCTTTCTCCTTCTTAACAGCAACAGGTTTACTCAAAACCTAGTTCATTGCAAGAAAGAACAGTTTAAAGAAAACTTCGTGCTTACCTGGTGAGGTCTGCTTAATTACACGTACTATCTGCTCATTTCTAGGATCCAAGTAGCCCATCTTACTGATGTATTCCAGAGCTGCTTCAATACTTCTGCTACCCGTCTGCTTCAGCGCCCGCACGGCCATTTCCTGTGTAAAGCAAATACAAACTGAATCACCCCGAGACAGAGCCCAAGCATTTTACTGCAAGCTAGAAACCAGTCTTAAACTTACAGAAACTTTTTGCAATTTACACCTGGTAACAGCTGTCTGAAGCCAAATGGACTCACATTTTGAAAACACTTGCTTACCCTGTACAATTTAAAAATTAAAAGAACCCACTAATTTCAACCTACCCAAGTTCTAGATCTGGAAAAGTCAGCACAGTTTGACTTAGTGTGAGACAGAAGGAAATACTTGGCTTTTGGTAGTTGAAAGCACGTCTCTCTAACGCGCCAGCATCTCTCTATACAGCGAGTGCAATTCTGACCTTCCCCAAACACCACAAGAGTTAAGTAGGCAGGGACTGATCTGCGCTGGGCAAATCCTGGCCCCGCTGGAGGCAATGGTCTTTGCAGTACTGCTCACTATCTATGTGGTAAAATACCAGCACATTAAGCTGTATTTCACATTATTGGCCTTTCTAACTGCATTTCAGTGGGCACACATTACTTTCAGTCTGAAAAATTAGTATGGGTGCCAGGCATAAAAATGAAACTGCGCAGAAGTAAATACTCCAGTTGAACTACTCCATCATAATCACTGTTAGTGTCCCTTGCTCTACAGCCAGGAAACCACTCTCCCGGAGTTTGTTTATACACTTACTTATGGCTCAGGTATATACAAAAGATTTCAACAGTGACTCTCCTCTGGCTGCTAAGTAAAATTTGCAAATCCTCACATAGCTGCAAGGTATTTTCTGAAATGATGGAGGAAGTGAAATCCAGCATGAATTCATAGCATTGAACTTCAGCCATCAAAAAGTCAGATTAACTGTCTAAAGTAGTTGCCGAGAACTTCCAGGTACTTCCATAATTACTTCCAGAAGGCAATTCATAAGACAGAAACAACAGGAGATAAACTCATCTTTGGCGACAGACAATTAGAAGACTAATTTAAACCAGATAGTTAGCTGTTAGATAGCAGAATTTGCATGAAATAAATGTTATTGTCAAGGAATTGTCAGCAGAGCTCGCTACCTTGCCACCATATTGCCATTTTAGGGGGCTTGTCTTCTTTAGTATCTTTATTGATGACCTGGATGAAGGGACTGAGTGAACCCTCCGTATGTTTACAGATGACACCAAGTTGGCAGGAAGTGTTGATCTGTCTGGGGGTAGGAAGGCCCTACAGAGGATCTGGACAGGCTGGATTGTTGGTCTGCGGCTAACAGAATGAGGTTCAACAAGAGCGAGTGCTGCGTCCTGCTTTGGCCACAGCAACTCCAGGCAATGTTAGAGGTTTGGGGTAGAATGGCTGGAAGACTGTGTTGAGGAAAGGGACCTGGAGGGTGTTGGTTGACTCTTGACTGAACATGAGCCAACAGTGTGACCAGGTGGCCAAGAAGGCCAACAGCATCCAGGCTTTTATCAGCAATAGTGCAGCCAGCAGGAGCAGGGAGGGGATCATCCCTCTGTACTCAGCTTTGGTGAGGCTGCACCTTGAGTACTGTGTTCAGTTTTGGACCCTTACTACAAGACAGACATCGAGGCCCTGGAGTGTGTCCAGCGAAGGGCAACAGAACTGTGAGGGGTTTGGAGTACAAATCTGGTGGGAAGCGGATGAGGGACATGGTTTAGTGGGGAAACACTGGTGGTAGGTGGATGGCTGGACAAGATGATCTTGAAGGTCTTTTCTAATCTTGGTGTTTCTATGGTTCTATGATTCTGCCATTGAGACCTGCCCATAGGCACTAAATCAGATGAAATTTGGCTTGCTGGCTGCAGATGTGCTGGCTGTGTTGGTGCAGCATTGCAAACGCCCAGCTCTCCCACAGGGCAAGGCTATGTGTCAGATTGCACGCAGGTAGCCCCAGCCCATGTGCCCCTTTCCACATCATCTGGAGCAAAGAGCTTTGCTTGGCTCAACTGCAAGTGCGTGTTACATTCACACTCACTGTTTACCTAGCAATGGAGGATGGTCTCAGACGACACTTAGCACAAAGCTACATGCTGGCACTTGGCATTTAATTTCACTTAGCTCAGTCTCCTGCTACTCCCCCCAGAATGGAAGTATTTTCTCCATTACTCAGAGGTTCTGCTGGGGGAATAGCTATAGCAAGTTTGAATATTTTTCATACAATTTATGAGTCATAATTCATAGAAAGGCAGTAGTGGGTTTCACATTTCCTATAGCTGAAATATTTCACTGGCATCAACACATTACTAAGTGCAATTTTAAAACAACAAAACTATTATGCATGAAGGAAAGAATTTCCCACAATGTTTTTTTCCCCTTTCTTTTTTCTTTTTCTGGATACATTTCTGAAGCATTAGCAAATTCGTATCTCAGTGCTCAGCAGTCTCACCATCAAGGGGCTCTGGCTGCTCACACACTGCCCTCTGACATTGGCTGGATCTGACCTTAGACACAAGACTTCAATTTCCCCAAAATCAAATGTGCTCAATACACAACAAGGTCTCCGAGCTGGATCTTGAGCTTTTTTGATTTTGTCTGCTATGGGGGATCAAGAGAACAAACATATGGTAAACAATGCACTTCTCCCCATCTTAAATGTGATAAACAGAATTTAGAGAAGTTAAAGAACGTGGCCTTTTATCACCACCATGATATCTCAAAAAACAAACCTTCCCTCCTATACTTGCACTACAGTTCTCATCTTTTGCCATTGCCACTGTCAGAGGACTAGCACCATTAAAATGATAACAGTTTGCTCACAGCTGTGTGTTCTACCTTTAGCAGGAATAACAGGGGATTCATATTTAAATCAATGGGAATAATGGGAGGGAAAAGCCCCGAACATTTCAGGATAGACCGTATGTTAACCTGGAAGAGCCAGCAAGAGCTTTGACTGGTGGATGTGTCAATGACAATCGCACCCTTGCAGCCCACTGTGAGGACAGCAGCCTGGTACCAGCTCTCCGCCTCTCATCTTCATGAGTCAGCTCCTGCTCTCAGAAGGGTTTCCTCAACACTGACCCTGTCTGCTCAGCATTTATATCGCTGCTGGAAAAATGTAAGGTTTCTTGTGGTTCAAAAGAACACCTGTATTCCCCAAATCCCATAGCTTTGGCCTTTTCCCCCACAGATACCATGAGACACACACAACCTCTGTTCATGAGGTCAGTTCCCAGAAGGCTCGCATCATCTCTAAGCACATGGGGGCCAACAAACAAAAAATAAAGATTTCATGTAGAAAAGGAGAGGAAGCAGTGCAGAAAATGAATTAAATAGCACCGATAACTGCAATTATGGGAGGCTGGAGGTTGGGGATAGAGGTTGAAGTCAGATGGAAGGTGTTTGTAAGAAGGAGCAGAATGGGCTCAGGAAGGAGAGGAATCAATGCCGCAAGTTTGCAGACCGATACTGGAAACAACAGAAAGGCTGGTGAACAATGTGACAGACACTGGGCAGGGAGAAATGTGCACAGCTACACTGACACAGCCAGAGCTGTCCCAATGATATCACTGCAAGGTAAGTACATTTTAGAAACAGTAGGAAGAGAAGACCAGAAATGAGACATGAAAAAAAAAATCCATTTGGAACAGTATCGAATGCCAAAACATTCAAATAGGCACAGGACCAAATCCAACTCCCACTGAAGTCAACAAAGTTTTCCATTAACTGCAAGGTACACTGCTCTCTGTTTCTGCTCGTTTCCTTTTCAGCACGCCAAGTGCTGTCAGTTGCAGCACTGCTGAGAAACCCAGCCCCTGGCTTCATTCTGCACACCCTGCAGCCAGCTGTCAGGGTCCAAGCACAAACACGAGCCCTGGCAGCGTGCGCCCAAATCACCAGGGAGCAGAGCAGTCCCGGCCCCAGCTCATTCTTTGCATTCTGTGTATTCCCCTTGGAGCATTCAAACATGTCTCTATGCAAGCCTTCACGCACCTTTTTGCCTCTAGACTCTGCTGCTGGTGAGAAGAAGAAAGAATAGCTACAAAAGGAAAACGTGCTGTTACAAACAACTAATAACTTCATAATTAATGTTACAACTGCGATATTAAAATGAGGTTTCAGTGGTTAGTTGTGGTTCAGGACAGACCTAATGGAAAACTAGCGTCAGGCCAAGAACCACAAAGTTACCAATGTAGTCTTTGTGGACTGGGGCAGCTCTGCTAAATTCCGTATTTGTGGGCTGAGAGAAAAATGGGAGAGGGGCTGCTTCTCAGCTAGAGCCTCCAGCAGCCACCCAAACCAGAGAGCTGCGTGCCAGTGTGCTCAGCAATTTCCCCATTTCTGTGTCCACAGAAAGCAGCTTGCCAAGCCGCTTCAGGATGTTGTTAGAAGGAAAGGCACCTTTCAGCTCGGATGCTCAACAGGGAAAATCCTTGTTTAATGGTAAACAGATATTTGGAAATGTGCACAAAGAGGCTGCACCTCTCTGTGCTCCACAGACAATGTGAAAGGCTTCCCCTGCTTTACCCTCCTGCCTGGCCTCGCTCCACCAGCACTGGCAGCGGCGAGCGTTCTTGCTCTAGTACAGAGTTGTCCAGCAACATTTTTCATTCAGAAGGCTCCCAGTTGCCAAGATGTATTTATCATCCAAGTGAAGATTGCACAATAAGTAAGACCTTTTCCCAAGAACATTGTGTCTGAAGGAGACAATAGGTCCTCCAAAATTTGGCAAAGGCAATTAATTGCTAACAACAGCTAAAAATTAATTACCCACTTTCCATTCACAATGGAGGATGGGCAACAGATGCAGGAAACAGATACAGGTTCCCTCCGGAAGGGAGAAAAATCAGACTCATGCCAAAAGGCATGTTCCAGAATTGATTAGGAACCTTTCGGAGACAGTCCACCACTGTAAGAAATTTCATTCATGATTTTAAATGTGCGAAAACTAAGAAATTCAGGAAACAATGCGTACAATACGCTCTGATGGAATTACTGCAGCTCTACAGAACAGAGAACTGTATTTTTTTAATAATCCTTATCTGCAAATGCTCCCCATTTGGACGCTTCAT